TATATAAATTAAAATATAATATAAATAAAAAAAAAATCAAATCAATAACTTATATTAATGAAAATTAATTTAAAATTAATTAAAATAATAATAAAACAAAAGTTAATGATAACAAAAGAACAAAAAACCCTAAACACAAAAAGAAAATAATTATTAAAGTAGTGTTCGGGGTGCTGATAGCAATTGATAGGGGTGTATTTAGTCCATCCTTTTGGATTTTTTTTAAATGTTCAATTTGATATCTAAATTAAAAAAAAATTGAAAAGAAAAATAGATTTTATTGCATTAATTTTTGGGAAAAAAAAACGAATTTTAGTTATTTTTCTATAATTATTTTGCAAGTTGGTTACCTAAAATAGGAATCAGGTGCAAGTTGGTTCCCCAAAATGACGATTTTGAAAGTTGGTTCCCCAAAATAGGAATCAGGTGCAAGTTGGTTCCCCAAAATGACGATTTTGAAAGTTGGTTCCCAGAAATGACGATTTTGAAAGTTGGTTCCCCAAAATGACGATTTTAAAAGTTGGTTTCCCAAAATGACAATTTTAAAAGTTGATTGATCAAAATAAAAATAAGATGAAAGTTAGTTCTATTTTAGTTCAATTTTTTCTTATTAAATTCTTATAAACTACTGATGTATTTTATTGGAAAAAATTTGGGCCCTTAGTTTTTGGGCACTTGGCCCCCGGGACGGCCCTGCTTACCAAAACAAATGTCTAACAACCACTCACTTTGATCATATGAACTTTGATTAGAAATAGAATGTGAAGAATAGCACCTGAGAGATCGGCATAGACGTGCTGGTGTTCCTCAAGGAGATCCATATGATACCACAAGGTAAAATTTGAAGCCGACATCGGCCAATAAGCAGCAACCGGAATATTCCTCCGATTAGCAACGTCCAACGACCATCGCAGCGTAACATCAGCGATGATGAGATTCACCGGCAAATCCAAGCGGTCAAGCAGCCGATCAAACGGAGTTTCCAATTTATTCTGAGCGGCAGTGAAGAAGCCTATAGCGTCGGAGCCACGGTTGAGCTCCGATGGCATAACATTGGGAATGGTGACGAATCGGACGTTTTTTGGCTTCGGATCTGAACCAATGAGCTTGAGCCACTCCTCGGTGACGACGACGGTGAAGACGGTGGTGAGATTTGGATGGTGGAAACGAGAAGAGAAGAGGTGGCAAAGGTTCAAGAGAGGGTTTATATGGCCTCTGCCGGGGTATGGCATCACCACCACTTGATTCATTTCGCCGTATTCCGATGAATGGTGGTGGTGGTGCTGGTGGTGGTGGGGGTGGCGGCGGTGGAAGGAATTGAAAAGCACGAGCCAATATATAGACCAAATAACCAATACTTTACTTTCTTTTACTTTTACTTTTCTTTTCCGGTGCTGACCTTAAACAAACCAAAAGTTCAGTCAACCATTCGTGAACTTTTTTGGGGTTTTCTAATCCCACCCCCTCCTACACTTTTCTCCCTACATTTTTATACCCCTTTCTATATATTACTTTTAACCTTTTGATATTTTCAGTTTTGATCATTCAACTTTTATAATATTTTGTTATTATATTTTTTATGTTTTTAATTTTTAATATAGATTATAATTATATAAATTAATTAACTTTATATTATTATTAATTAATAAATTATTAATATTCTTTT